ATACTGGTATGAACCAACCAAAAGGACAAAACCGACAATACAGGTGGTGTAAGAGAATGTTTTGGGTCCTTGCGCGAACCAGTGGGTAAACAGCTCTATTTTTCATTGCTTTAAACAATTCCCTCCAAGTTAAAGGGTTTTTTCCTTTTAGAGAGGGTGATTCGGCCCTTTTCTACCAACGACAGCCTCAATGATTTTTGATCCAGTGCATTTATATTCTTCACCACATCCTCGCACGCATGTGAAACTTTTAAGTAAGCTGTAATATTTATACTGCTGGATTCCACAGTTATGTCAAATTGTTTTTTTGAGATACCCGCGCTGGTTTGAACTGAATTGCTGCTGGTTGAGTGCTTGAAATAGTAAAACTCTTTGATTGACCGATATCTATAGACGAGACGTTTTCAGAAATATCCACTGCGTAACTTAGGCTTGGAGTTCCTGTTAGTAACACTGAATACTTCCGGCCGGAAGGCTTTGGACATGAAATTGACGTGCTCCAAACATGCGACACAGCAGTGTCAAGACGACCAGAGGAGGACAATTCGTCCTCACCGTACATTGTCATTTGAAGAGTTCCTGTCAAGTTAAAAAGATGATAAAGTTATTCCCCAAATGATAAAAACGAGATTTAATCGCGCACCAATCAGATCGCTGCATGAGGGTATGTATCTCGCACCAATCAGAGCGTCGTTTTTGTTCTTTGGTTTGAGTGGTGTTCAAATTTCAACGAAGTAATGGGGGATTCGGAGAGAGCGGTTCGTAAAATGGAATCGTCTTTTAGAATGAGAAATATTAGCTTTTCTGTGTTTTTAACGTGCGAAATGCGACACTACTGGACATATGAAAGATATCAGATTACCTATAGTAAACGTATTACTCATGCCGTGAAAATGGTGGAAAGTTGTTCGAGAGAAAGTGGAGTTCTGTGCTCTGCAGTACGATTATGGTTATTAGGGACCTTACGATCCGACAACGGCGACGGCGACGTGGGAAGAAGCCTTGTTTGACGTTGTGCGAAAACGTGGAAATTAAAACCCAACTATGGC